CCCCCCAAAAGAGAGGCTGAGTTTTAAGTCGACACAGCATGTTATCAGCTGAGTACAGAATGAATGTCAAGATGAGAGGTGTAGTGGGAGTGCCAGCTAGTGAATGAAGACTATCTGTTGAAATTAATGGTGAGAGCTGGTGGATGAAGGCCAGCTGCTAGGATGCCAGTGCGAGCCGGTAGATAAAGGCCAGCTGTCTGTGAGTGCAGTAGATAAAGGCCAGCTGTCTGTGTGTGCAGTAGATGAAGGCCAGCTGCTAAGATGTCTGTGTGAGCTGGTAGATGAAGGCGGCTACTGAGTACGCAAGACTGAGCTGAAGAGACTGAAGCCAACTGCTAAAAATGCATGAGTGGGGGAGGGAGGCGCGGGATCAGATGGATAACTAAAATATGAAGCACTTTAGATAGAAGAAAAAAATAGGAATGAGTTAAGGGTGAGTACGTCTTACCCTAGGTACGTCCCTGGATGGGCGTTTGCTGGAGTGAACACTGAGGGGAGGAGCTGAGAGGCAGGTTGAGAGGTAGACGGAGCTGAGTGAAAGAGGAAGTGGCTGTGGTGGAGCTGGGATTGTCAATTAGCTGCATGCCTGAAGCGAGTGTTGATGAGGAGCGTTGAAGTGAACGCATTAAGGCAACGGACGTGTTGGAGAGGCGAAGGACAACGCTGGACAGGTGGAGCGAAGCAGGTAGCAGAACCACCGGAGGCGCGCTGGTTTCGGGAGCCAGAGCTGCTGGAGCGGCTGCAGCTGGCAAAGAGCCTTGGACGAAGGTGAAGAGGGACCAGGAGGCCGAATGAGAACAGACGAGAAGACGCTGGCCTTGAAGCGAGTAAACCCGACAGTCAGCTGGCACGCAGCCTGTGCGATGGAGACGACTGGCTATTATTTACTGGCAGACAAGAGCTGATTGGATGTAGCTGAGTTTACGACGACTGGACACAGCGGAGCTTGAGACGAGGAGGTCTGCAGGAGCAGGTGAGGTCATTAGATTTACAGAGTTGAATTTACGTTTAAACTCCATCAGTGTTGCAGCAGAGCGCAGTTTAGTCTTCAGAACCACTGGCGCAGTTGTGTGTAACGTGAGATTTTGCTTAAAGACATTTTATTTCATAAATCAAATCTACTCTTTTTCTGTTTTTACTTAATAATATTTTTAACACGATGGCAGCGGTGCGTTATGACTGACTGCATCTCTGCCTTTTTTTCTTTTCTGTCGTCCTCCTGCAAGGGAGGCAGAGACAGAAATAAGGAGGCATTGTCTAATGTTGCAC